TTCTACCAGGAACAAAAGCACATTACTGTGCAGAGATGACTTTTTTTAGAATGGGTTTAACTCTATTAGCAAGCAGTTTAGAGTACACTTTATAATTGAAGTTACACAAGCGAATAGGTCAGAAATGACCAACAAATTCAGGAGAGTCAATCTTAGGAATTAACACCAAATTGGTAGACTTTAGGTTTTACAAATCAGTATCATTCTCAAATATCTCTCTAACCAACTGACAAATCTAGGGGCCTATGATTTCCCAAGAATAGTGGTAAAAGAGACTAGGAAAACCGTCAGGGCCAGGAGCTCTTAAGCCCCCCAAATCAAAAGCTGCCTTTTTTATTTCCTCATCCAAAATAGGATTCATCAACCCTAAGTTATCAGCTTCAGAAACCACAACTTTCACATAGGAAAGGACATGATCCAAATTTCAAGGTGCAGAACTAGCAAACTGATTCTCATAAAAATTGGAAAAACAGGAGTTAATCTCTACCTAGTCATCAATCCAATTTCTAGCATCATTTTTTAAGCAAACCACTTTGTTTCTTCTTCTGTGTTGGGCTGTAATATTGTGAAAAAATCTAGAATTTTGGTCCCCCCATATTAGCCAATTAATTCTTGAGCGTCGAAACCAGTATTTTTCTTCCCTTCCCCAAATGGCCTCAATTTGATTAGCTAACTCACTAGCTTTACTTGCAGAATCCTCATTCCAAACTCCTTCATAACAATTCCTAAAGTCTTCCATAAGGGTTGCAAGGAGTTTTTGGTTGTTAGGAAATTCAATCTTACTCCACTTAGTCAGGATTTTCCTTATTCTATATGGATTTGAATTAAAAGCATGAACCACATCATTAGTCATCCGCTTGTCCCTATTCCAATTTGACTCAATAAGCCCTTGATAGTCTTCATGCTCAATCCAATTCAATTCAAAACAAAATTCTTTTAGGCCTTTTATACCAGAAAAATTCACATGCAGAAGGATTGGCAAGTGATTGGAGCCTAAAGGCTCTAGATTACATACCTGAGCATTTTGATGCTTCTCTCGCCAAAAGGTATTGCAAACTACATGATCTAGCCTTTCTTTCACATTTGCCTCATTAAGTCTCTTGTTTGACCATGTGAAAGCCAAGCCTTTGGCCCCTAGGTCCTCCATGTCACATAGAGTCATGAAGTTCTAAAATTCAGCCAATGAGTTTAAGTCTCTGGTATTCCCCCCTTCTTTTTCAAAATTAAACAGCAAGTCATTGAAATCTCCACAACATAACCAAGGTACAGCATTCCCAGGGTTAAGGTTCTTCAATTTTCCCCACCATTTTCTTCGATCTTGCTCTTTGGGAGGACCATAAATTAAAGTTAGAAAACCAGAATCCATCTCTAAACCTTTGAGAACCTTCAAGTGCATCATGTTTCTATCTGACTTGACAAACCGCAACTGCAGATCATCATTCCACCACACTGCTAAACCACCCCCTATCCCCACTGGTTCCACATAAATCTTGTTCTGAAAATTTAATCTCCTACGCCATCGCTCAAATTTTTCCATCTTGACCCTAGTTTCCATAAGAAAAACTAGAACACAAGAACCGAAGGTTCCTACCTGTCAAGGATGGCCCCAATCCTTGATAGTTCCAGCTCAAAATACTCATGGCGACTTGGTGGTCATTTGAGACTAACCACTAAGACCTACTATAGTCGAATCACAGCCTGAATCTTGTTTTTCCATCCCTTCAAAAATATTAATGGAAACTACTTCCAGCACTGGAAATTCTACCAAATTACCCTCACTCACCTCAACAAATTTCTTACCTTTTTTCTTTCTTGTCTTTGAAGGTGAGTTCCTGCCTATAACAAATGGTTTCTCATTTTCTTTGTTCTAAAATAATTTTGTAGCTTTCTCAAACTGATTTGCAAGTTGACGCCTTGCTTTTTTTGATTTAGAAAACTCCTAAGTTTCACCTAAAGCTCTTTTTAGGCTAACCTTTTCCATCTTTTTACTAAAGTCCCTTCATATGTTATTTGTAGTAGGCCTTGCTTTGGCATATTAATATTCGTTTCCTCACTTTCCTTAGGCAATTCAACAATATACGGCACACTAGCTGCTGACCTGTGGGATTTAGCTTCCGTAATGGGTGCTCCCATATCAGTATTACATTCCTTTCTGTCAACAGAATCTTTTATAGAACTGTAGAAAGTGTCAAAACTTTTTTGGGCTCTGCAGGCTTTGGTTCATGTATTTTTAAGGGCCTATTGTTGAATAAGGCCCTTCTGCAATCCTTTGGAGTGGGTTCTATTCTTGCTTTTCCTTTTGCATATCTTTTAGTGGGCTATTTACTTCATCCATGTCCAGATCCAACATCGGCCCAGTGTCATCATTGATTTTCCCCTCAGTAGATTTACCAACTGGGCTATTTACACTCCCTACACCTTCCTGCCAAGTAGATTGCTTTTCCCCTATTACCCCTATACTATTATCTCCACCATAGCTCACATGTACACCAGCAACATTCGCACTCTTTTTTGAAGATGAGGATTCACGTGCTGTCCCTATTTGCATCGAGTCACATTCACCCTCTCGAATCATGATTATCGACGCCACTGCCCTTAACGGATTCACCCTTAACTCTACAGTATACATTAGTTAAGATGGATCCTCCTCTGACATGACTTTATGGTGCTCACATATCTTGTGCTCATGCTTAACTTTCCCACAGTTATAACAGAAATTTTAGAGTTTTTCAAATTTGGTATATGCCCATACCTTGTCCAGGTTAGGACGTGGTACCCAAAATTCGGCAACTAGAGGCTTTAACAGATCCACTTCAATTCTAATACGAACTAAGCTACGGATATGGTAGTCATCCGGCCTTGGATCTGCAAAACAGATAACTTCACCAATTCTACTACCCATCTTGACAATATTCTTCTTAGTCATTGCTGCTCTCGGGATGTTATGGATTTGAACCCAATACATACATCTATTCATTAAAACTTCCTTAATCGTCAAGAAAAGTTCCTAAGGGTGAAGATTTAACAAATACCCATCAAAAGGCCAAAGACTATCTCGTAAGATTCTTTCATAATAATCTTTTATGCTAAAATGAAACACAAAGGCATTGTCTTTAGAATCACTAATTTCCACCTTACCTTTCAATCTCCATATGCGCATAATCATTTTCCGAAACGTTGGGATGTTCACTTGCTTGGAGGAAACCAGCTTCCCTACTAGTGAGAATCCCCCTTTCTTGCAGTCTTCATCCTCCTAATCTAGTTCACATTCATTCCTGTCCTCTATTACCACCTCCATTGTGCAGAAGAATAGTGAATCTTCCGCAACCCACTTCAAACAACCAGACTGAAGTACACGAACGGAGCCCTAACTTTGGGTTTTGCAAACAACACTAAAACAGAGTTGAAATAGAGCTTTATCGCTGTAAGGATGAAAGGAGACGAGACCGAGAGAGGTTAGAGGGAGAGGAGGCAGCCATAGTGAAAAGCCCTAAAGCAAGGTGCTTTGCAATGATCTACCTGGTGACCGAGACAAAGACAAAGCACAGTTGAGAGAAGGAAGATTAGAAAGAACAGGAAGCACGCTGTAGGTCGACAGCAACGACAACGACACTCACTCACTGGAGCGAGAGAACGTGCTCATCACTTAGACGGAGCGATGGGTCGCTCTCATGCAAACGGAGAGATGCAGATACTTATGCTTAAATAAGCAAAATCTGCAGACATCCTTATAGCGATCTAGTTGATGAGATTAGGTTATTAGTCCATAAAGATTGGCAAGTTATTTTTGTTCATGTTAGTAGGAAAGAATTAATCTTAACTGATCACCTAGCCAAGAGAGTTCACATTGTAAGTGGGAATTATTTTACTTTTGATCAGCCTCCACCTTTTACCTAAGAGGCGGACGCTGTAGAAGGATAGTTAGTAGGCTCGTCTGTTTTGTTTTGTTTGTTCTTTTGTCTTTCTAATGGTATCTAGTTTCCATTCAAAAAAGAAAAAAATCAGACCAGCCAGGCCCTCTTGTCCGGTCCCGTTGATGGCGAAACCTGTTATGAATTTGACTTATAAACCAGTGTAACTCGGGTAACCCTTTGGGCTGACCAGGTTTACCAGGACCAGTTTTTCCCTCACCTGAAAGATGCAAGCAGAAATTCCAGGAGGAAGAAGAAATTTTCAGAAAAAGAGGCAGGATAAAAAGTAGAGAAGGAGATGAAACTCACAGAGAGAAAAAAAAAAACCCTCCTGAAAAATATGATAAAAGATTGAGTAAAGAAGCTTTTTAGAGTAGAAAGTATGGAAAAAAAGAGTGAGGGCTTGATGTTTGTTGCTCAAAGCTTCAACCCGTGTGAGAGATCCCAGAAAATGAAGAGGGCAGAAGAGAACAGACGGGATCACGAGTTTCAAATTGCAAAGAAAGAAGGAGAAAAGTGACATTTATGACTCTGACATGGTGTCTTGTTCGTACCCTTATTCATCTTTTTTTATCGTTTTCTAATGCCTGCCTCAGAGCCATTTTTAAGTATAATAATATATCATTTTAATTATTAATGGTCTCGCATAGAATTAACTCGAGTCTTACCCACTAAACTGCCACTTCTGCAGCGTCTTTTGGAAAAACACAGTAAATATGAGTGTCTCTCTTTCTATCCCACGTGGATATCACGTCAGAATCATCGCGACGCATCACTGAACAAGCAAATGTGATAAATAGAGGGAGCAGAACCTGCAACCGGAACCGGTTTGGATATTGACTTGAGCGCAACCCACGTGGATATCACGTCAGAATCATCGCGACGCATCACCGAACAAGCAAATGTGATAAATAGAGGGAGCAGAACCTGCAACCGGAACCGGTTTGGATATTGACTTGAGCGCAATAATTGTTTTCCAAGTATTGGATATTATTGGCTCCACGTCTAACTCTCTTTTTCTCTGTACATAGCATAGCACACAATACTTAGCCAAGCATAGAGCCACAAATAATCTCTCCCCTAGCAGTAATGTTGCAGTTGAATACTATAGTAGCAGGTTTTGCAGCAGCAGTTATATTCGTTCTTTATTATTACCGTCAGAGACGAAGTTGTTGCAGAGACCCTTTGTTCACAGAATGGCCTGTACTGGGTATGCTACCACCACTTGTCTGTAATATGTGGCGGTACCATGACTATGTAAACGAGGCTCTCCGAAGACAAGCAGGTACTGGCAACTTCATCGGACCTTCGTTTGCTAGAATGAATTCAATTATAACCTGCGACCCCATGAATGCACATCATGTTCTGAGCAAGAATTTTGGCAACTACTGTAAGGGGCCTGTGTTTCGTAATATCTTCAAACTCTTTGGAGATAGCATTTTCACTGCAGATTCAGACGCATGGAAACACCAAAGAGCGGTTTACCATTCATTATTTGTCAAAACTAAATGTTTGGAGAAGCTGCTGGAGAGGATCGTTCAAATGAAGGTGGAGACTTGTCTGGTTCCAGTTCTTGATCACGTAGAAAGGCAAGCTGTGGACGTGGATCTGCAAGACGTGTTCGATCGCTTAACCTTCGACCTCACTTGCTCCATCCTGTCAGGATCTGACCCTAAAAGCCTTGCCATTGATTTCCCAGAAGTTGAATGCAAGAGAGCTTTTAATAGATTAGAGGAGTTTATATTCTACAGACACGTAGTGCCCGGAAGGATTTGGAAGCTTCAAAGATGGCTGAGAATTGGAGTGGATAAAAAGATGGCCGAACCATTTGAGGCTTTTGATCGGTTCCTCGGTGAAACAATAGCAACAAAGAGAGCAGAGATGAGCCAAAAGAACGAAACAAAGAAACAAGAGAATGACATGCTGAGTTTGATCATGAAGGGAGAAGAACACGTGGATGACAAGTTTTTGAGGGACGCTGGTTTTGGTATTTTTCTTGCAGGCAAAGGCACCATAACTTCAGCCCTAACGTGGTTCTTTTGGCTTGTTGCTGCAAACCCTTCAGTTGAAGCCAAGATTATTCAAGAGATTAAGCAAGTCAAGGAACTGAAAAAACAAGTGTATCTCCATGCTGCTCTGTGCGAAGCTGTAAGATTATATCCTCCTGTACCTTATGTGCGCAGGCAAGCAGTCATACGCGACATGCTTCCCAGTGGACACGACATTAGTCCTCGTACTGCGATAATATTATCTGTGTATGCGATGGGAAGGTGTGAAAAGATATGGGGAAAAGATTGCTTGGAATTCAAGCCTGAGAGATGGATCTCTGAAAGAGGAGGCATCGTCCACATGCCATCGTACAAGTTCATTAGTTTCAACGCGGGACCACGAACTTGCATGGGTAAGGACCTGGCCTTCATTCAAATGAAGATGATAGCTACCGCTATCTTAAAGAATTATCATGTTCGAGCGGTGGAAGGTCATCCCGTCTCTCCCATGCTTTCGATAGTGCTCCTGATGAAGAATGGTCTCAAAGTTCGACTCACAAAACGAGGTTGATTAGTTGGAGGAAGAGAAGAAACTGAAGTTATGTGTGTGTGTGTGTGTTTAAGTTGAAGAAAAGTTGTGGAATATAACGTTGGTTGTACCTCTTTCTGTTATCCTGGTAATGCTGTTGTGCGAGTATTAGATTAATGAATAAATCACAATACTCAAGCTTCTGATTGGCTTGCATATTGCGATGATGCGAATTACTTAAGAAGCTGTACTTTGTAGCCAATTCTTTCACCTTGGATATGAATGCTCGCAAGGGATTGGGTGGAGCTTATTAATTAATGGATGGTGTTGGTTTGCATCATTATGCACGTTTCTCAAGGAAAGAAATAATGATACGTGGGAAAGATAAAAGCCTTGCAGTACCTCTCTTTTTTCCTTCTTATTTTTTTTTTAATTTTTCACAGTTAGATGAATATTTTAACGGTTTAAATTTAAATTTTTTTAAAATTATTATCAAAATATTAAATTATAAAAATAAATAATAAATTATAAAATATATTAAAATTTAATTCTAATAGTTTGTAAGTGTATTAAATGTTTTTAAATTTTTTTATAAATAATTTGTAAAAAATTAAATTTAAACTGTTAAAATCGATTAAAAAAATAAAAAGGAGAAAAGAAAAGTTTCAAACCACATAACGTGGCTCTTCTGTATTGGCGTTGCCTCTGACATATGTGATATACCTACTCTCCATCTCCCATTGTAAGCAATTTGGCAATTTGCAATTCAATTCTCAACTATAAAATATGGCCCACTATATATGTCTTTTCAACTTTAATGCCCTGCATGTGATGCTGTGATATCCATGTAATTTGGTATTTAATTTAATTTCCAATATAAAGTTTTAATTTAATTTATTTTATTTATTTATTTTAAAATAATTTTTATTATAATAGTTGTTGATATTAAATATTTGGATTAAGGTGCACCCAATACCCTAAAGTATTTTCTCAAGTACATCCAATATCATAAAGTATTTTGTGGTGCATCCAATATCCCGAATTATTTTTTAGGGTCCCCCAACACCCTGAAGTACTATTTTTGTCTTGGTGCTTGATGCACCAAAAAATATATTTTGAGTGCTGAACGCACCTAAAAAAATATTTTGAGATGCTAGATGTACCAAAAAATATTTTACGATGCTGGATGCACCTAAAAAAATATTTTAAAATGCTGGATGCATTACAAAATACTTTAGGATACTGATGCACCCGACAAAATACTTCGGAGTGCTGGATGCACCTTAACCCTAAATATTTTTATGAAAGACTAATTCTAATACACATTATTAGTAGAGAGATTTAAGAAAAAACAACACATATTTAAACGAATAACTATCTTAATTTATTTTTTGAATCTCTTCAAATTAATTAATTAGTCTTATTAGGGTTTTTTTTTGGATTGTGTTTGTTAATTTCGTCACTTTTTGCCAACAAAAAAAAAGTTGTGAAGACCCCTCAGATCATATAACGGAAAGAGTTTGACTGCTCATATCAGCTATACGAAGGAAATTAATGTTTTTTGACCTAATATAAAGGAAATTAATTAAACTTTAAGTTCGTGCACGTTTCTCTCGATTTATTAATTGCGCATATTCCTTTCACAACCACGAGAATCTACATTTCAAAAAATCCCCTAACCGAACGCTAATATATATCTGAAAGTCCATTATATTGTGTCCGTCAGTCAAATGAAAATAACGGCTATTGCTATCTTGTCGGATTACCATGTCCATGTGGTGGAAGATCATATCCTGTCTCTTCCAGGCTTCGATAGTGCTTCAGGTGAGTTCGAATAACAAAAAGAGGTTAGTTAACTGGAGGAGGATGTTACGATCTCAAAACAAATAACAATCAACACAGTAAATTTGCACTGAAATCTGAATATTATTTATATATGTGTGTGATGAAAGCAACGGGAAATATCCAGAAATACATGAACGTTCAGTCATGGAAATACAGAAAGTGCAGAAAGGAAGGAAATCACCAGGAAGGATAGCAGAGAATCAGAGGGAAGGAGAAATACAGGGAAAGACTGTCAGAAGAGAATCACTACATAATCCACACCGAAAATGATGGTTTGCATGACCCTTTATTTTGCACAGCTCACATTCCACACGTGCTCCAATATGATTCATTTAGCTGGTGTCTACAGAATAATCCAAGCCTAATAGTATTTGCCATATTTGATAGAGCAGGCCCATTTTCATTTTCACCTCATGTCATGACAGAGGAGGAGGAAGAAGGAGGAGTTTTCCTCAAAAAAAAAAAAAGAGGAGGAGGAGGAGGTTGCGCCGAAGTATATATGTTTTGAAGTGGCAAAAGGCTCGAAGCGATTTGGTTTTGTTTGTGCCTCTTTCTTTTTGCTGTTCTTTTTTCTTTTTAAAAATTTGGCAATGTCGTTGTTATATCTGTGTCAGGTTAATAAATAAAGCGCAATAATATTCAAGCTGCTGATTGGCTTGCATGTGATGATGCCAAGAGTTGTGTGCGTTATAGTATGTTGGTTTCTCCCACCTTAATTTGTAGCCAATTCTTTCGCTTTGTATAGGAATGCTTGTAATAGTGGATCGGCTTATTATTAAGATTTTTTTTGGATTGGCTTATTATTAAGATTGTTTTTTTTTCTGGTGAAATATTAAGATTGGTTTGTTGTAACTTGGTTTTTCTTCCGTTATAATTTATTTGAACTAAGGTGTAAACACTACCAAAAAAAATAACTTTTAAGTTTTGAGCGGCGATAGCCAAGTCGTTGCCGTAGTCACTGTCACTGGAAAAAATAGAACCACCGTTGGCTGCCACCACATCATCACCGAATGCCATCAACCGTCGCCATGTCATTGCCGGCCACCTATCAGGTGTCGCCATGACGCTCACCGCCTTGTCTGTACCATGTGTCCACACCTCGACACGTCACATCACCAAATGAATATCATCACTATAAATATGGCCCTTCAATGTTTCAACCTCCCCACCTCCTCTTTCTGTGTCCCTTCTTCTTGTCATTGAGCTAGGAGAAATTATTGTATTTGTGGTTTGACCAACCACAAGCCAACAAGTCATGTCATAATAATCTGATGTGGCTGCTAGATCAACTCAAATTCTTAAGCAATATGAAATTCAATTAGGAAAAAAAGAAAATATCCTTAGGGAATTCAACTCACAAGAAGCTTTGACAAAGACACCCTAACACCTCCATTCGGCAATCATCCTATCCCCTGCAATTGAAGACAAAGATTGAGCTCAGTTGGCCTCAACGAGTTTGTGGCGAGTGAGTTGCGATTTAGGGTCTCCTCTTTTTCTTTGTTTTTGTTTACACGAGAGGCTATTTTATCCTCGTCTTCTTCCTCTCCATGACTCTCCTATAGTCGGTGACCAGAGACAAAGGCTTTTCTTGCATTGGAGATTCATGAGAAATTTGACCACCTACTTCTCTTTAAGGTTCTGTTTTTAGACATTAATCAATTTTTGCTACTTGAATATTGTCGTCTGATATTTCAAGCTTTGATCTTTGGCTCTAGTAACAAAGATGTGCCCAATTCCTCTTACTTTGGATTGAATATTGTTTTCTTCTCTGTGTGTTACAGGAGTCATGGTTGTGGAAGAAAAAGCATATTCAATTACAAACCCAAACTTGAGAAGACTATTCACTTGAAGCTAGAGAATGGTTCAAAACTTGTTATTAGAAATGTGTTGGGACTTTGTGAAAGTTACTGGATTGTAACATATTGTGCCAAATTACAGTTATGCACATCAAAGCACATTATTTACTACATGCATTTGGAAATTGTGTATGAAAAAAAAATGTGCTTGAAGTTTGTGATGTATGGACAACTGTGAAATGAAAAAAGATAGATATAGCTCCTTTTCAAGTGTTCATGATTCATACATTGTGCCAAATTGAAATTAGGCATATCGAACCACATTATTTACTATGTAGTACTTGAAGCAACAAATACTTGCCCAACTTGTCTGTACGTCAAAAGATATGGGAATAAAAAATATCGAACTTACGAGGTAAACAAAAACAAAGTAAAAAGAAAAAACAGCTTTTCTTGCTTTGTCTTTGAGACTGCCGTACAATTGATACGCACAGCATGTGTTCTATCTTCGTCTGTGCACTTGCTTTGCTACTAAATCCAGGCGAGAAGGCTCCACCAATTATATTTCTTCCTTAAAATATATCTTTTTTCCTCTTATACCAACAAGACAAATATATATATATTGCTAAAACATAGTTATCTTCTTATTAAAAGTAATCCTATCCGAGACACTATCGGACACTAAATGTGAGCACCCCTCTCAGTGGAGATTTAAACCTTGGTTCTCTATGTTGTAAGAGATTAACCTCTCTGTTAGATCAAACCTCCATTAATCAATTATATTTGAACTCAACTAAAGAAAGAAAAAAAGGGTATGACGTGACCAGGGAACTTGGGTCCCATAATAAACTGAGTTCAAGAATCAAAAACTCTTGTTCGGATTATGGATCAAGCCCAATAGCTACACATCAGACTTTCCTTTTTCTTTTTTGGGTATTTACAGGTGAGACTGCTAGATTATAAAGACTCGTCCACCCCGGTCCAGATTGCTGCTTGCTACGTCGGGACAGTACATCCCTCATGGACAGTCTGTAGTTTTTGAAGAGAAAACCATGATTTGAAGAAAAAACATCTAAACACTATATATTTTTTCAAAATTATTTTTCAATTTAAAATCATGATTTATATAAAAGTAACCAAACACCATAATTTTTTCCAAAATCACTTTTTATTTGGAAACCATGATTTTGGGTATAAAATCATGGTTTTTCATGAAGTGAATTTTTTTTGCTTTTGAAGGTATAAAACCATAGTTTGGGATATAAATATATATACACATATCAATTACTACCTTTGATCCTTAATGTAAGAGTTAAAAAACTAATTTGTAAATATTAAAAAAATTAGTTAACTTATTTATTTATAATAAATAGGTGTTGCATTCTGTAAAACACTTGGTTT